TTTTTTTGTTTAAGCAGACAAAATCCCTATGGAAGTTATGCAAAAACAGACTCTGAGCTAAGTAGTAAAAGATTACTACCACTATTTTTATGCTGTGTTGGTATCAAGGGGAGAGAAAATGCAAACACAAGTTAGCTTTGCTGGAAAAAAGAATTGCAACCTTGCTGCAGATCATGGTCACCAAAACAAGAAAACTTTGTGGATTCAGAACAAAATGCAAAAAAAAATTTACCAGTATTATGTCAAAGAAAATTTAGAAAATATCAGGTGTATTTAGTCCTGTGCAGGAAATTTGTACTCTGAACAGTTCCATCAATAGGAATCCGTTGAGGTCTTTTTTTCCCTATTTTTCCAGAAACAATTTTTGGAATAACAATCAATAAACAATCAACAAACAATTGAAGTATGCAATATTACAAGGTGACAATCACCACTGACAATTTACAAACATATCAGGTACTGAGAGGTTTTATACACATTTTAGAAAACCAGTGTTAACATTTTTGTACATGCCAAAGTTTTACCATTTTCCCAAGTGACAATGCTTCCTTTCCAGTTTTACTTTACTGGGTAAGCCAAATAGAACAAATTTATCTAACGCCTTTCCCGGAGGAAAGGGAGAAACTTTGTGGAGTGTCTCAGGAGCTCTACTGAGGTTTCACAAAATTTCCTTGCATCAGCCAAAGGACAGGCTACCAAATTTGTACTTGAATTTAGATTTCTGGGAAGCTTTGCCATAAATATCAGCAAAACAACAGAAACAAAAATATTAAATTTCTATGAAGATATCGGCTTAGTTTAGTATTATAATGTTGATAATTTTACTGAAATGGCCTGTGCGGCCACATGAAAGCAAGCTTTAGCATTAATTAATTTCTTTTTTTTATTATGTGAATAAATTGATTAAATAATGCAATACAGTTAAATTTCCAACACATATTATTGTTTTTCTTTAAACCTATTATTTGCAGTTTTTATAAACCAAGGCAGATAAAGTTTACTTTCCCTCAAACCTTTTACGACTTACTACATACCCTCAATTTTAGCTTTTTTTCTATTTTTTCACACTATGGTACAACCAGACATTTTAATTTTAAGACAAAACTACTCTCCCTTTCCTTTTTTTTTTTTATTTACCATCAGTCATTAATTGCTCTTTCTCTTTTCTTCAGACACCACTAAAACCTTTAACAAATCATGATAGTGGTTTCCTTTCAGTAGTCCAGAACACAAGGAGGTGCTTTCGCCACCCCAAAATGTTACTTTAAACATTGTAGATTATTAAAATTGACTTAAAAACAGTATAGCTTAGTTGCACTTAGTAAAGTTAATATGACAAAAAAAAATTTTACATATATAAGTATATTTACGTTTTTAGTCAAGGAAAGAAAAATACTTTAAAGATACATTTAAACAGAGTAGATTATTAATATTTAACACTATAACTTTAAGGCATATATGCTTTGAATATCATAAAATTTAAACTAGTTTTTATATATTAAAAATTCTAGATTATGATCTCAAAATTTGTTTTTATGAGAACTTATATAGGCGCCGTTTATAATTAGTCCTCCGGAGGTAAAAAACAAAACAAAACACAAAGACAGACACAAACAGACACAGAGATTTCTCAATATACATTTAAAATTTTGGCCATATGCATATATTTTAAAACATAGTTATTTTTGAAGATACTGAGGTTTTTAATAAGTTAAAAGCTAAAATCTGTGCAGAGAATAAGTGTCTAATCTTAATTATTACCAAAGACCTTGGGTTCAAGACCACAGCAGTCACGACAGTTTTTACTAACATTTTAGATAAGAAAATTTTTTTTTTGAGTTTATATTTTTAAGAAATGATCCTTTGGCTTTAGGTTGTCAACGCTTTATTTCATTGAGAACGAGCATATTTTAAAACAAAAAAAGAACACTGTTATCTTAAGAACAGGAGAGGAGGTAAATTTTTACAGTCTGTCTGTTTTTAGGCTTTTATCAAAATCTGAGGCTTAGTATTAGTTCATTAATGTCTGTATTACCACTTTATATTTTACGTGGTTAATTAGTTTTAACAAGAAATTTAACCTTTACAGGTCCAATAAGTAAATTTAAAAGCTTTTATTTAACCAATAAGCATTCTGTATAGCTTGTTAGCAAGTCCAAAGTAACTCAGCAGTTTTTACTTCAGACAATTTAGACTTTAAAATCAGAAAAACACAGGGAAATAGAACTTTTTTCCTAGAATGAACCAAAATAGTTTTTTAAGGTGGACAATTTGAATCCCTGGTGGGGCTTGATATTGATCTAAATGTTCGGCCACTATCCGGTGGCAGATAGTGGGGCTATGTTTATATCCTTGTGGCAACCGGGTGAACGTGTATTGTCGGCCTTTCCGTGTAAAAGCAAACTGCCCCCACCTGTCTTGTGAGATTGGGATGGTGAAGAAGGCATTGGCTAAGTCTAGCACTGCGTACCACTGTCCAAGGTGTCCTTGAATATTTTCAATAAGGGTAACAGTCAGGGACTGCAGCAGTCAATGGTGGAGTTACCTGATTTAATTGTCTATAGTCCACTTCCACGATCCGTCAGCTTTTCGGACTGGCCAAATCGGATTATTCCAAGCAGTGGTGGTGGTTATCAGCACTCCAGCATTAGTCTGTTCAATCTTGTCCTGCCCACCCGGAATCCGATATTATTTAGCAGTTATCAACCGGGAGGGGGACGACGGAAGATAAACAGGAGGCTGCTTCAACTTTCCCACCACTACATTATGTATTATTAACATTTTAATTGCAAAATGATAATCCCCGTCTTTCAAGTGTAATGACATTCCCTTTAGGATGTCAATCCCTGTGATATATTCTGGAATTGGAATGATTACTATTGAATAGGATTTTGGGGGTAACCCACTAATACTCATACATACAGTGGTCTGGGTGGCTTGAATCTCTTTTCCTCCCAGACCCTGTATGATGATAGCCATTCCTTTAAATTTTTTAGGGTTTCCATAAATCAGGGTGGCCTCCACTCCCGTATCCACTAAGGCCTGTGCTTGAGTCACATTTCTCATCAATCAAATCATCTAATCTATGGCATAAGCGGTCACAAGCAGATAACAACAACCAGCCCCGCCGGGATATTGCTCCCGGTTCTTTCCCCTTCTCAACTGGGACCTTCTGAAGGGCCCGGATTAATTGAGGCGGGGCAGCATATCTTGGAGCAGACCGTCCCAAGACTCACTAAGGCTGTTCCCCACTGCCCATTCCTTAGCCAAAGCAGCAAAGCATTGATCTTCCCACCCAGGAATATCCTGGGCAGCAACAGCAACCTGAGGCGAGCGTTTAGCAAAGAAAGGCATGGTCCTTATTGTCACACGGAATCCTGCCGACTACGCCAATTATGTATAGCAATAAAACATAATTGCTAGCCCTGTGCACAGGTGTTTGAGGGAGGCTTGATTCCGTGGGATTTAATGACCACACCGTATTAAAGGAAAAAGGATTTATTGTGAGCAACAGAGGTGATGTGCGAGCAAATTTATAAACAGTGCCCCAAACCCAACCCAACCAATGAACATGCATACATACTGTACAGTTTCCTCAGAAATCAGCATCATGGAGGCAAAGAGTCAGCACTCCGGAGAACAGCACAGGAGACGTATCCAAGTTCAGCAGCAGCTAGGCGACCACTGTGTTTTTATCTCCCAAGGTCGGACATGGCCAGTATCCAAACCCAGGGATTCATGGTGGGCTGGTCACGTTTCTATGCACGATACCCCAGAGTTGCATAACCAACTATATTTCTTGGTGGTCCCGGACATCCCGAACAGTTACATAACCAGCCCTATCTTTTGGCTCCTGGTCTGGACACTGGCCAGGCTCCCGGATCAGGGGACCAAAAGGTGGTCGCACATCTTCCAATGTCCCCGGCAAAATGACATTAACACTTTATTTTCCTACAGGGAGGTTGGGAGACCTTGCCTCTCCTCTTATCTCTTACCCCTTCTTCCCATTCTCCAGGTATCTGTGCAGCCCCTCCATGCAAGTACCCTCCAGGTAGTTTGTGTATCGCTCAGCTGCTCCAGCTGCCTCCCACTTTTTCCCCAGTGACCTGAGGCGCCCTGTCCACCTTGGTCCAGGAGCGCAGGTGATGTTGAACACCGGCCTCAGTTTCCCTCAGCCAATAAAAGGAAAGAGTTTGAGGAAAAGGAAAGTAGTTTAATTCGGGGACAAATGAGGAGGGCAGCAGACGCAGAGGGCAGGGGTATTTATACAAAGGGGTAAAAAGGGGGAGATGGGCAAGGGTCTGCAAAGGAGAGAGGGTGCCGGAAGGGGTGGGCATGGAGAAAAGTGGGCGCCAGCTTGCTTTTCTTCCATAGCTGATGACTTGTTAACGCTTCTCCCAGAGGCCTGGCCATAAAGACAACCTGTCAAACAAGGGGGGAATTGCAAGAAATACAGGAAAGACAAACTTGTTAAGTCTCATCTGGGAAACCTGTCATTTGTAACAGCATCACAGGTCCTCCTTCGGGCATGTAATCTGCACCTAAGTCGGACTGATGGTACCCACAGAGGGTACCATGGGGCCCATGGGGCCCCACTTGGAAGCCAAACATCTCCTGGAGGGTGTGGACCCTGTCCCTGCCCCGCGTCACCCCGCGGTCACCCCGCCCGCACCCCCCCACGCCCTCACCCCCCTCTACGCCCCCACCCCCGCTGGAATAAACCTCAACTGAAACTGCAGCCTGGCAGCTCAAGGTCTTGTGGCCTGTCCCTGGGGGGAGGGAAGGGCGGGTCCACCTGCCTGAGGTGACAACCTGACCGAAATCGGGGTTCCCCGCCCATCTGTGGGGATGGGGCCTTGACCACGCCCCGCCCCGCCCCGCTCACCGGCCGCGCTCTGGTTGTAGCAGCAGCATAGGGTGCGCAGGTTCTCTCAGAACATCTGCGCCTTGTCCTTCGCGGTCAGTGTCTCCCCCTCCCCCTCCCAGTACCCCCGCCCCTCCTGCTCCTCCCAGGGCGCCCGCGGCTCCATCCTCTGGCCCCGGGAGTCGCTGTCGAACCGCCCGAACTGCGTGTCGTCCACGGAGCCCACCGAGATGATGCGGGGCTCCCCGGGGCCGGGCCGGGACATCACCGTGTAGAAATACCTCAGGGAGTGGGAGCCTGGGGCGGGAAGGACACCCGGGCTGGGGAGACGGAGCGTGAGGGGAGAGGACGAGGGGGGTCCCGAGATTGAAATGGGGCATGAGATGAGCGGGCTCCCTAGTGGCGCAAGGGGTTAAGATGCAACCTATGTAGCCACCCACAGCCACTGCAGCACTAGTTTGATCCCTGACTGGCCAGGGAGCGGCCCACATGGCGCAGCAGACCTCCCTGTCTTGCCTGCTGCTCCCCTCAGCCGTGTATTTCAGTCAATCTGCCTGTATTGCTCCCCACTGTGTCTCTGGTGTATCCTCTCACCCCCCTGCGCCCCACCTCTGGCGTGTACCCCAGTTCTTGCATGCATATATAAGTGAATCTTAAAAAAAAAGAAGGCTGGAGCCTTGATGGGGCAAAAGGAGGAGGGAGGTTGGAGGTGATGCCGGCGTGTGTAACAACTGCTGCCGCTTTACCACGAGTTCTTGTCTCGCGAAACCGTAGAAAGGGATTCACAGACTTGTTGGAGTAAGTAAGCAGAGAGAGACAAATCTTGTCTTTGAAAGAAAAGTTTATTTAGGAAGAAAAGAGACAAAGAAGAAAGACTCCCAGGTATAAAGTACCTGGGAGGGGCCAAGATGAGCCGGTATGGATATTATGTTGGCAATATATACTTTCTCTCCCTCATTATGTTTAAATTTTACTCTTTCTCTCCCTGATTGGTTAACTCCCAGAGGGTACTAAGCAAGGAATTTCACATTCCTTAACAGTATTTCCTTTCCCCATCTGTTATGCTTATCGCTTTGCTTTACCTTTATGGTCTAGCCCTCCTGGTGAACATCTTTACACTTCATCTTATCATCTGAAGAAAACCAGGACCATCCTTAACAAGATTACCTGTGGTGCTAGGATGTTTGCTTTCCCCTAGTGTTTAACAATGGTGTTTATTTTTCCCAGTGGAATTGGTTGTATTTCCTTGGTTATCCTTATCTCTGAAGCCTTCCTGATTTCTTCAGAGGTCCCCTCCTGCACTATCCCTAAAACTGCCTAATAACCCTAGCTTGCCCTGTGTCTCAGAGGGATAGAAAGGGGTCAGGACAGGGTGGAGTCAAGGGGCACAACAGGGTCAGTGATGGGGGAATTGAGCCTTTTCTGGGGTCCTGCAACCCCTGCCAGGGTTCCTCTGGTTCCCCCCTTCTCAGTGACCTTTTCTCTCCAGAGCCTGCACTCACCAGGCCAGGTCTCTGTCAGGGCCAGGGCCCCTGAGAGCAGCAGCAGGAGAGTTGGGGGCCTCATGACTGGTGCTTTTGGGTCTGGGGGAGACTGAGTCCAGGCTGGCACAGCTGTGATGCTGATTGGCTGCTCTGGAGACCCTCCAGGCAATGGGGAGTGACAACTGGGGGTGAGTCGCAGTATTCTGAAGGAGGGCTTGAGCCAGATTGTGAGAGGGAGGAGAGAAACTGCCCATAAATGGGGAAGCCCCAACAGTAACCTTACCCACCCCAGACACAGCCCAAAGGGCTGAGACCCTGAGAACCACACCCTATACCTCGGACTTTGCTCACCCCCACCTCTCCTGATTATTAATCTTGAATTAATACATGATTTTAAAAAGTGATGCATTGTTCTACTAAGTTATATGATATTTATGTTAATTATTCTAGAATCAACTTTTGAAAATCACGTGTTTTATGTTCCAAAGACCCCAGACAAAGTAAGTGGCTACTGGAAGTTGTCAAGTTTACAGCGATGGGACACAATTTTCCACTATCTGGTTTTCACTTGGAGCTTGTACTTTATCAAGGCAGCTAATTACTATCATTTATCATCTGTCAGTTGATTTCATAAAGGGACAGCTCACATTCATTTTCTAGAAAGTGTGTACAGGTTAACCAAATCTAAATACTTATAGTTTTTGTCATTCATCCCTTCAAGTAAAGATGGTAGTACTCTCCAACTCCCCCCTCAAAAAAAAATGTCTAATTCACCTCATACAAATTAGTTTCCTTGGGCCATTGTATTGGATTATGGCAGAAGTGACTTAAATGTTTGCTATGTCATCAGAAACTGGGTTTACTTTGTCTCCAGATTCTTTCTCTCAAGTTTGAGGAGATGCTCCCTGCTTTCCTGAGCCTCCCTGGCCAGGACCCCACAACTCTTCATCCTGGACAGGGTGGTCTCTGTCCATGTCCATGCTCCCTCCCTTCTGCTCCCTCCTGTGCAGCCCTTCTCCTCTGGGCTCAGGTGCTGGCCCTGCCTGGGGAAGGTTGACAATGAGGGCTCATTTCCAAACTTGAGGTTAACTCCTTTCAATGCCTTTCTGTTTCCCATTGTTAACAACAGCTGATAGTGTTTTTTACTCCCTCCTGGTCTGAAAATGCTTTGTTTGTAACATTTTGTATTTTTACAGTAAGCACACATGATATCCTAAGAAATGTAATACATACATGTGTGTATATACATACACTCCCCCCCACACACACACACACATCATAGGCAGAATAAAGCAGGTCTTCCAAAATTTTGAAAGGGAGGGCGGGTGGTGGTCCTCAGGCTCAGCACAGAGCTGAAGGGCTGGGCTCCGTGTCTGCTCTGGGTGGGGTCCTCTCAGCCCTTCCTCCCTCCTCAGGAAGCTGTTGTCTGTGGGGCCCATGCAGACTCTCGCCCTTCCCTTCTGGGTGTGGCTGTTTATTACTAGATTGTCAGTACCAAGGCTTTTAAGAAGATGGCTTTGCATCTCACACATCTCACGCTTTTAGCTCTTTTCAGTGGGAAGGTGTGTCCATCCACCCAGCCCACCTTGGTCAGGTAGCAATTCTAAGGCAAAATCATTCAGTGACAAGATGGCGGGTCCTAGAGTAGAAGGTCAGAGCCTGAGAACACGTGACTGAGGGGGATCTGCCAAGTGTTTGATAGTGTCAGGGATTCTCGTGTGATTTATTTTTGATAATAAATGATTTTTTGAAGATGTATTTATTTATTTATGCATACAAGAACTGGGGTACAGGCCAGAGGTGCAGGGTGGTGAGAGGATTCACCACAGACAGAGTGGAGAACAGAACAGGCAGATTAACTGAAATACACTACTGAGGGGAGCAGTGGGCAAGTCAGGAGAGGTCTGCTGTGCCATCTGGGTAGCTCCCTGGCTGGGGATCAAACTCGTGCTGCAGAGGCTGTTTTAACCCCTTGCGCCACCAGGGAGGCCCAATAATAAATGATTTTGATAATTATTAATATTTGTTATTCACGCACACACAGAGGATTCATAAATACTCAAGAACATACACAAATACATAAGTCACATCATCCTCAGTCAACCAAGTCTCCTCTACTCTGAACCCACTGCAGTCAGCAACTCCTCATTTCTCTTCCCAGGAAAGCCTATGTATGCACTGACGTGAGTGTTAGGTCTGAAAAAGAGCGGGGGCCAGAGACCAGGAGAAAATATTTGCAAAATATGACTCTCATACAATACATGCTTTAGAATATGCATGCAACCCTTAAAATTCAACAAGGAACAGATAACATTTTAAAATTGAGCAAAACTCTGAACAGTTTCCAAGGAAACTATATTGATGGCGACTACGCACATGAACAGACACTCAACATCATATCTTGAAAGACATATATAAATGCAAGTGCAAATTAAAACAAAGACACGCAATACACACCTATTATATGGCCTAAATCCAAATGCTACTATAGCAGCCCCCCTTTATCCACATTGATGTATTCCAAGACCCCCAGTGGATACCAGAACCACCAATAATATGGAGCCCTCCATACACAAAGATTTCCCTGCACATACATACATATGATACATTTACTTTATAAATCAGGCACAGTGTGATTAATAATAATAACTTTAAAACAGGACTATCAAAATCACAACAATGTACTATAATAAAAGTTAAGTGAATGTGATCTCTCTCTAAATATCTTATTATGAAAAAACTTTGAACCTAGGTTAATTTTGGGAAACTGAGGCCTTGGAAAGTGAAAACTCAGATAAGGGGGGACACTGTGCACCAGGTGCTGACCAGGATGGGGAGCAACAGGGACCCCCACTTACTGCAGAGGAAATGCAAAATCACACAGTCACTAATGGAAGAGATTTGGCAATTTCAAATTCCTATTAAGTGAAATACAGATTTACCCTAAAACCTGCTGATCACTCTCCTGGGTATTTACCCAGCTCACTTGAAAACTTTCCTTCACACAAAACCTGCACACAAATGTTTAGCAGAGCATCCCTTAAGTGTGGGCTCCACATGGTGACGCCTTCCAACAACTGCTGTGTGGAAAGGGACCCAGGAAAGAAAGAACTTCCCAGGGAGGAAGTGGAGACCCGACCTCAGCCAGGGGGGAAGGTGACATCACCAGTGAGGAGCAGGTGCAGGTGACTCTCCAGGGCGCTGTGCTGAGAAAGGCCCTTCATGTTTCTGTTTTTTTCCCCAACCCATCACCCCAGTCAACCAAACTCACATTGAGGGCCCTTCTACAACACACCTGAGCAGCGCTCCCGTAAATGCCAAGATCATCAACACCAAGGAGAGTCTGAGAGACTATAGGAGCCTGGAAAAGCCAAAAGAAATACTAATGACACCCAAATCAGGTATGGGGATTATTGATAACATGTGACTATTGTCCCATTAGCTGTACAGATAAGACAGAGATATCCATGTTAACAGAGAAAAGGGGTGTGGGATATACAGGAATCTTGTACCAATTTTTACATACATTATTTTAAAATAAAACATTAGAATGTAGCCCTCAGGAAAGGAACAGGGAGAGGAAGAGAAAATCTTCTGCTTTGCGGTCTCCAGGGTGTGGTCATCAAGAGGCTGCAGAGAGAGGCTGTGGGGAGAGAAGATGGCGCCTCAGACACAGGGCAGCTCCAGAGCCTCCTCTCCTCTTCCCCACTCTCCCCACCCCAGCCTGGTGCCAGGGCGGCTCACAGGGCATCTCACCCCCTCCCCAGTGATGCTCAACCCAGCTCACCCTGTCAGCCTTGAGTCACACACACCCAGCCTCTCCCCTGGCTGCCAGACTAGGACAGCGCCGCAGCGCCCCCGTGTGGCCACGGGTTGAAGGCAGCGGGCGAGAACCCTGTGATCTCTCAGGTTCTCAGTGGCTCCCAGGACAGGGCTGTGGTCACGAGGGGGAGCCCCACACAACTTCAGGCTCTGCGTCTGACCTCATTATCTCCTATGAACTGTACTCCCTGTGTGTACACACACACACACACACACACACACAATAACCAGAATAAAGCAGGCCTTCCTAAATTTTGAAAGAGATAGCGGGAGGTCGTCAGGCTCAGCTTAGAGCTGAAGGGCTGAGCTCCATGTCTGCTCTGGGCGGGGCCCTCACAATTTTTTTGCATCGTTGAAAATGAGAATTTTTGCATCATTGTTCATGAAGGTTGCTCACCTGCAGAATTTTCTTGTCGTGTTCTTTTCTGTCTTTTTATTATTAATTTCTTCTTGTCTGATTTTGTATCAGAATAATGCTGGTCTCATAATACTGATTGGGAAATTTTACCTCCTGTTATGTTTTGTGGGAGAGATTCTGCAGATTTGGTATTATTTCTCCTTTAAATGTTAGAATTCATAGGGAAGCTTTTTCCTCCTGGGAATAAATATTGGGAGGTAATCTGTCAATGGAGGGCCTGGAATGCTGCCATTTTTCATTGCTTTTGCTTCCCCACCAAGCCTACTGTATAGTCTCTGCATTTTTGGTTTTTTTTAAAGAGCAATTTCTTGGCTATTTTTATTTGCAGCCAGTGCTTCAGTGCTAGATTAATGATTGCATCAAATGATAACCTCTCCTGGACCCCACCCATTCAAATGGTTGTCATTTCTGACTTTTCTAAACATGTCTTAATGGTCTTCCCCTCCATTTTCACTTCTCCTGCGGAATGTCAGGTGTTGCCTAGATTGTGGCAATGCTTCCCTACCATTATCCCAGCGCTTGGCTTGACCCCTTTCTAGTCTTTCCTCTCCACTGCAGTATTTCTAACCTAACACTACAACTGTAACATTCCCTACTCAATTATCATTAGCATTGTCTTCACCTCTCAGGTAAAATCTAAATCTCCTTGGAATAGTTACAAGACTCTATGATTTTTGTCCAATGGGCTGGTCTAAGTTTACAGATGGGGGATTTGTGAAGAATAATAGATCAGTTAAGAGAACTAAAGTCACTGCATCTTTGAGCATGGAGGTATATGGGAAATAACAGGGTGATTTCATTACAAATGCAGGAGGAGAAAATGTAAGACCAGCTTTCTACAGTCTGCCTTTTGCCTGGTGAGGGATAATAATGATCCTTCTGC